AGATGATAAAGTTAATATCCGATTGACTTTAAATTGATACACAGTGTTTAAGGTCTTGAAACAAACAAGTATATTGATTTTCAATGAATCTTTATGACTTGAACAGCTAAATCCATGATGTTAAAAGTTTCGTAAACTAAACGTTAGCATGGGGCAGAACTTTATAAAAACCAAACAAATTCTAATGGTTTTCTGATAATTACTTAATGAGTTGTTACTCGTTACCCAAAAAAGTAAAAATATGCGACAACTCTTGTTGACTGCCCGGATGATATAGCTGCTGTGGGCGTATGTTTCATTGCCTGGCAACCTATCTTCATTTAAGATGTTTCTTTTAATGTTCAAGTGTTCATGTATAAATGGTAATGGAATCATGTTAGTTAACTGAAAGTTTAAGAATTTTATTCATCTAGTAGAAGTCTTAAATTGTTTTTTTCTGATAACCTTTTGTTCAGAAGTGGAATCAAGTGTTGTTGGCAGTTGGCACTATTCAGAGTCAGACATATAGCCAAGCTGGGTCTGTCTTACTTTACCTGACATCTATCACTTCTTGTGGTGCAGGACTGACAAGCTAGCAAGGAAAAAAGTCTAGTCATTCGGAAAGGATATGAATAACCAAGGTTTATAGTCTGTTTACTCGTTGGTGTGTACGTTAAAGAACCTTTGACAGTTGAATCTGATACAGAGTAGGTAGAAGCACAGATATCTTAGCAAAATTGAACCATATGTTAGTCCCAAAAAGACCTATTTTGTGTCGAGTTGACATTAAACCACATCTCTCTCTCTCTCTCTCTCTCTCTCTCTCTCTCCAGTTTATCTCAAACCTAAATATGTGCATACATGAATCAACCTGACCACCCACTAACACACCTTTCGGTTTCACACACCTTCATTTACATGTATAGTCACATTTGTTCAAATGTATCTATTACCTCGTTTCCTTATCTCGTAATCATGTACAGAACTATTAGATATTTTCAAGATGGTGTATGCGATGTCATGATAACATTGGTGTATAATGAATGAGTTTTCAAGATAACAGGATACAGTGGTTTGTTTAATAAGAGTTAATTTACATATTTAATATATTCATCCTTTAGTCAAGTGATATAACACAGGCTCATCTATATTATCAGCTCTTCCAGTATAAAGAATTAAAATTTAAAGGGATGATGTAGGCAGCAAAACGAAACAGACTCATCTATATTATCAGGCTCTTCCTAGTATAAAGAATTAAAATTTAAAGGGATGATATAGGCAGCAAAACGAAACAGACTCATCTATATTATCAGGGCCCTGCTCCTACTGAGCTAATGAAGAAGAGCATGGCATACACCATACAGTGTGCTATGAGGGAAATTTTGCCCAGGCAGCACCCTATGGCCTACTCTTATATCGAATTCCAACTGCCAAGGGATATTTACATGCAAGCCAATGTATACACAGGACCTGCACCACTGACAAGGGGAAACCACGTCACAAAATCCTGATGAACTTTCTCTGCCAATGCAGGGATTGAACATGCGACCTCCAGGCTAGCAAGCCAGCGCCTTACCCACTTAGCCACCGTGGCTCCCTGCTATTTTGACTGAGACAGGGTACATGTATTCTCACTGTATGAAAAGTACCTGATAACACAGTTGTTTTATATTTTAAAGGAAGGTGATCTTTAAATTATGACATCGAGTGTATTCAAGTGTATAGGATATCCATATGAATTGCTAAGTAAGCAGCTTATTCACTTGTTGTATTAATGATAGATGATGTGCATGTGTGTGTGTTGATGGTTGACTTATAGAACCTCAGGTGTTATTGTAAATTTACAATCATCATTTATACTAGCTGGGTATAAAAACAAATATACCTGTATCTATTTCTTGAATGTGTTAGTCATAAAGTATACAGTTGTATTGAGTCTGTCGTTTATAAAGGATATTTACAGTTTTCAAGATTTAACTATCAACTACAATTGGTATTGGATTCATCAATTGGAGTTTTGAGTCTGTTGTTTATAAAGGATTTTAACAGTTTTCATGGATTTAAATATTAAACTACAATTGGTATTGGATTCATACATTAAAGTTTATCCTGTCATTAGTAAAAGTTGGTGAATTTATTGTAATGAGAAGTGACCACTAGTGTTCTAAACAAAGTAAGGAATGGATTAGTTTTTTTTGTTTCAACATATTTATTTTTTCAATGCTACATTGAATTTCAACTATCAAGGGTTGTTTTTAGGACTGTCTTATCGCATGGGCACGTTGGGCAGTTGCCTCGGGCCCAGCCTTTTTAGGGGTCCCAGATTCAATATGGAAAATAAAATTAAATAGCATGGTGAAATCAGGACCATCTTTGGACTGTATCTGAATGACTAGACACAATCACTGACAAGTGAATTAAGGCCACAGGGCTTGAAATATCCCTTTAGTTCTTAACAGCCACTAGATACCTACCAATAAATATTAAACTAAAGTCAAGTTTTAAATGATAAGTACCTACCAGTAAATAACGATTTATATAACGAAGTCAAGTTTGAACTGATAAGGAATATGACTGGTTAATTAAGACTTAATTACCTACCGATATGAAACTATTACATAACGATGATGAAGTAATTAGGTCTTTCATATTTTAAAGAAGTAACATCTTTATTTTCTTGTAAAAGTGATCCAAAATGTATCACTTCAATTCAGATGAGGCAAATATTGGATGATATCTTAACTGTCTCTTTTCTTTTCAAACCAACGTGGCTCTCACTTTTCGAAGGTGTTACCATTAGGTTGACAATTTAAGTTTTTTTTAGAAAAAACATTATCCACCCATACATTTTGTGTATATACATGTACTTGCAAAGCATAGATAACAACCCACTGTACGTGCCACTACAGGCAGTCTAGGGGAGAAATTTTATTAATCCCGTGCATGAGACTTACATGTCACTTGCATTGCATGTCTGGCACTGTAGAAGATCACAGGTTGGCCATGGAGATTTTTGGTCTTGCTCATACAAAATTTTCACCAAATATCTTGTGGCTAGTCCGGAGCTACCAAACACTATGACCCGTGCAGCGGGTTGTGACCTTAGCTCAAAAGATACCTTGTAAGTCGTATTTCAATGAGGAGTAGGCACAAACACTGTCTGTCTGGGAAAAATTAATCTGTCTAAGGTCTAGGATTGGACACAGAAACAATTAACTGTATGTTAGTCCAAAAATCAAAAATGGTTATAGTATTTTGTTAACAAATCGTTTCATTTGCACTTATAAATGTGTATTTATTTTTAGATGAAACTGATTTTTTTTTTTTACCTATACAAATTTTTTTCAACAATTTGTCCAAAATACTTGATTAACAAATGTTAAGTGGAAAATAAAGTTAAAATCTCTGCACATCATTTGAGTGATTTTTAAATAGTAATAAAAACAAACAACAATATAGTTAATGTTGAATCTCTATATTAGACAATGTAATCAAAAAATGGTTCAATACCTTTCAATACATGTATTTATAAAGATATGATGAATTAAAAATTTGTCAATATTCGTCTAGTACTGGCACGATATATGTAGATTGTTGGATTGATGTATCGTGATTCACCTCACAATTCACGTATTGAATCGTGAAGTGCTAAATCGATGTATAGCAATTTTTTAAAAATGTTTTCTTTTGTTCCTTCAGTACATGTAAGCATAGGCATAGGAACCGGGGCAAAAATTTATTTTCGAGCAATGAAAAATTTGACGACCTTTTTTTTCTATTAACGTTTAGAGAAAAAATATAACTAACTTATTTCTATGAGATCCACACTGCCCGAAAAGTATTTTCTCGTCTTTTTCTCGTCCACTGCATGCCGGAAAATATGCCCGAAGCTCTCTTATGATATGTATGCCCGAAAAAACGGTATTGATTTCGGGCAATTTTCTCTTATGCCCCCCCCTGAATTAATTTGGGCTCCTACGCCTATGCATGTAAGTAAACTGTCACTCTTAATTATCCACGTCACACATTGGTCCTTATTTTGATCCACATTAATATCGTGATATAAAACAGTTGTATTTCCTCGACATTGACAGGACTATAAATATCAATTATTCATTTACCCTGTTGTTTTCTTGGTAAATATTGACCTGGTTATGAATCGAGATAGGAAGCGTATCTTAGCACCTGAATTGCAATACTTATTGTATCATGACTGCAGTGGCAATATTGAACACTAAATTCGACATCCAGTGAGCTGTTATTTTTAATTTGCACTTCATTGACCTCAATCAACAAATTATTTTTAATTGCTTCAATAGGAAATGAGTTTCGTAAACAAGATAAACAACAATTTTCTCATTACATGTACATGTATGTCGATTTTATAATTTGATTAAAATTTGTGTTGTTCAAGGGTCTGAAACATGTAAAGTTATGTAAACATAAATTCAGTGGAGCTATAAAACAGGAGATTCTGGGTTAAATCCCAGTGTTTCCCAGGGTTTAGCAGCATGGTCTCACCCTTGTCACTGACTTGTCAGTGGTGCACAATCCAGCTGGCATTGAATTTTGTCAAGTTGTCAATATAGGATGAAAACTCCATGTATCTTGTACATGTTGGTGTGTACTAAAAGAGAGAGAGAGAAATGGGGTTTAACGGCCACTCAACACAAACTCGGTCATTTCGGGACTAACATATGATTCAATTTTATTTCAATAATTCACTTGCGTGTAGGGATCTTTAGCAGTGGGAGGAAACCAGAAGGACGCGGAGAAAACCCACGTGACCCTACTACTTGTCATGTACAACCAGGGAATCGAAACCACACCAGTTGACTCAATGACAGACCTTATGATACAGTGCACACAGTGTATTTTACCGGAATATTTATTGTATATTTATTGTATATTTATTGTATATTTATTATATATTTATTGTATATTTATTATATATTTATTGTATATTTATTGTATATTAATTTTATATTTATTGTACCGGTATATTAATTTTATATTTTCAGGTAAAATGAAGATTAAAGACAATTATCTGTCAATTTGACAAAATGACCTCCATAAATTCCAAGGTGACAACTCATGACCTTTTGGAGGTCAAGGAGACTGAGAATGCGGTTAAGGTCAGCACGGAGGAGCCACATCTGGTCAGTCTGGGTAGTGGTCGACTGTCCACCGCGGTGACTATACTACCAATACATCAAGGTTAGTTGATTTGTTTCAAACCTGGTCACTTTGTCACCACCTTCACTTGTCTACCACATGCACTTTAGATCATAAGGTCTGTCATTGAGTCAAGTAAGATGTTTTGGATCCCATCCCATCTTCTCTCCAACCTCATAGGTTTCTCCCACTGCTAATGCCCCCACCCACAAGCGAATTATTATAATAAAATTATATCGTACATGTATGTTAGACCTAGTTTCGAGTGGGTGTCAAACCCCTCTTCACTCTTTCTCCCCCTTTCTGCTCACCAGACATCTGTAATTCCTTGTGGAGTCTCAGAGTTGTCATATTTTTGCACAATTCTGCATTGACTCTTTTTAAAGTTGTTGCAAATCGATCAGGGTTTTTGTGGGATTGTTCTACTGCTGGAGGGCTTTCTTTTAGTGATGGTTTGATTGCTGAGTCTAACCAGGGATGAGACCTTTATCGAACATACTGTTAATAAAACTACATTACAATTCTGTTTCTAACACTGGATGATACAGTTGAGAATATCAGTTCAGCAACAAAAGATCACCTCTAAGGAAATTGCCATCTAACGTTTTATTGTTTATACAAAAAATTGCTGGATGCATACAGATGTAAGTTCCAGGACAAGTACCCAACCTTGTCAGTTTTCTTTGGGTCCTCCACTTTCCTCACACTTTTAAAAAAACCCTATCTTTTAAATTAAAATTGTGCTATATGTAAGTCGCAAAATCCCCTCTCTCTCTCTCTCTCTCTCTCTCTCTCCCCCTTCCTCCCCCCTCTCCCTCTGGGGCAAATGGCAGTGAAATAGGATGGTATAATTTATACAGTTGAAATTTAAAAGTTGCATTTTAAATTAATGTAATATATTTGAGGTTTATGTGCCGTGAGAAAACTTGTGTATGTAAGAAATTAGTATGTATGAACACATCAGTATTATATAAGGGGATTAATTTGATATTCATCCACATATACATTTAATATACATTGTTTATATTGTACAAATGTAGGTGGTAAATGATAACAGCATCCTATTATTTTGTCATTATAAGGACTAGATCTATCTGTTAAGGCCAACTGAATATACCGTCAAGGTCGCTGAGATATACCTAAGGTTAGAATAGCGTGATTGTTGGCGAGATTGTAGGTTAGGGTTAGGGTAAGTGTTAGGACTAGGTCCAGGGTTAGGGTTGGGATTAGCACTAGCCCTATTTACATCTTGTGAGTGACCTTTGACTAAACATGAAGTTGGCTTTATGAAATAGATTAAACCCATTAAGGTAAAAGTAATATAATCTAGTTTTATTCCTATATTTCATTTCTTCAATCTCTGTAAACAGGACACAGGATATACTGTGTTGTTCTTATCTCACTTGATGGCTCATTTCTCTGTATTATTCTACCATTTGAGCCGCCGGGGGGGACGGAGAGGGGGAGGGTGAGTGGGCACACCCTGGGTGGAGACAATATCAATTCTAGTGTGAGGTCCAAGAGATTACCAGAGAATTTTTTTCAAATCAGAAGCTCTGAGACAAGATTTCTGCTCATTTAAGTGCATCCATGTACATGTATACGACAAGAGTAGGTACATGTAATATGTAGACTACATGGTCCATAACAAAGGATAATATATTCTAATAATCTGACTGCCCTCTCTGATTACTATAATAATCAAATATACCTGGTGCTATAACAAGATACATGTAGTAGAGATCAGGGGAGATAAGAAGGTCATGACTAAAAGACAAAAATAAGTACATAAATAATAATTTAATATCAAATAATCAAAATCACAAGGATGAAATATTATGTTATGAATCTACCTTTTGCTAGAAAACTGAAACATACTTGTAAACATTGGAAATGTCCCAAGAAAACTACATTTGATTACCATATTGATTAGGGGACTCAGTGAGTTAAAGATGCTGTAGTACAATGTAGGCTACACTAACTGGGAGGTCCCTATTTCAATCCCAGTGTTGGCCAACAAAGTTCTGGGGTTTGAATGGTGGAATGATATAAAATGTGCACGTTAAATCACAAGGTCTGTCATTAAGTCAAGTGGCGTGGTTTCAACTCCCTGCTTTTTATGTGACAAGGAGTAGTGTCACTTGACCAACCTTGTAGGTTTTCTCCAGATTCTCTGGTTACCTCCCATTGCTACAGACCCTTACATGCAAACGAATTATTGAAATAAAATTGAACCATATACAATGTATTAGTCCCAAAATGACCTAGTTTGTGTTGAGTGGACATTAAACCCCATCTCTCTCTCATGTCTCCCCATGTACTCGTTAAAGTGCATGTAAAAGAACTAATGACAAAATTTGACAAAATATATTGGTGCAGAAAAGTTATAAGTTAGGACTTTAAAATCCATTAATTACCATTTTATTTTATTTCATGTCAGTTAGAAAATATTATCGAGAGGTTTGCACTTCACATACATTTTGAAGTACGAAGTCTGAGAAATATGAATTAAATTCAGTTTGACACTAATCTTTGGAGTGTTTATAAATTGAAAATTTCATGAAAAATGTCTTACTTCATAGAAAAATGTCTTACTTCATAGAAAAATGTCATGCTTCAGAGAAAAAAAACCCAAACTGCTTGAAAATCAAGATGTTAAGTGGAACAAGTTCTCTTATCCAAACCAAAAACAGCTGAAGTCATGGGTCAAGAGAAATGAAATGAAATAGGGTTTAACTGTTAATGTCCTACTTTTCTGCACCAATCGAGCTAATATTCAGGGGAATTTTGCTTTCATATTGTACACAGGACCTTTATTTTTTGTCCCATCCTAATGTTTAAACACTATAACTTGCAAAGGCCTCAGTCTTGCATCACTGACAAGGGGGAACCATGCTACATGTAGAATATCTGCAGGAACTTTCTCGGCCAATACCGCGATCAAACCTGGCACCTCCTAGTTAGCGGGGCAGTGTCTTACTCACTGAGCCGGGGGGGTTGGATGGCAGAATGGTTAGCATGTGCGCGCTGTATCATAAGGTCTGTCATTGAGCCAACTGGCGTGGTTTCGATTCCCTGGTTGGACGTGACAAGGAGTAGGGTCGCCTGTCCAACCTTGTGGTTTTTCTCTGGATCCTCCGGTTTCCTCCCACTGCCAAAGACCCCTACGCGCAAGCGAATTATTGAAATAAGATTAAACCATGTGTTAGTCCCGAAATGACCTAGTTTGTGTCGAGTGGACGCTAAACCTCTTTTCTCTCTCTCTCTACTCATTGAGCCACAGTGGCTTTATCATTTTGTCTTGAATAATGGGCTTTTAACACATAGGGTTTTAAATATATGTATATATCAACCTATAAACTGAAAATATACGGAAAAAATATACATAAATAAACTATAGACTTAAAAAATTATTTAGATAATCTTATACTACCGTGTTACTCAACAATACCCGTGGATATATATCTACCAATCAAATAGATCTGTTCTACTACTACTACTACTACTACTACTACTACTGTTACTACTACTCTACTACTACTACTACTACTACTACTACTACTACCAGTACTACTTCTACTACTACTACTACTTCTACTACTACTACCACTACCAGTACTACTTCTACTACTACTACTACCAGTACTACTTCTACTACTACTACTACCAGTACTACTTCTACTACTACTACTACTACCACTACCAGTACTACTACTACTACCACTACCAGTACTACTACTACTACTACTACTACTGCTACTACAACCACTACTGCTACTGCTACAACTACTACTACCAGGGTACTCATTAAAACTGTAGATATATATCAACCAATCACATAGATCAGTTCTACTTAATTAACACTAAGTAGAAAAATATAAACAAACCCAATATTATCATTAATACTAATTGGTTTATTAGTTGAAAGATGTAAACAATTAGCTCTAAAAACGTAAAAGTCTAGTCTGACTATTCCTTTAATATAAATTAGTAAGTTACCAGTTTTGGCACATACAGAATTTTACCAATGATTTTATTATATTTTACATTATCTGTTCATCTGTGACTAGTGTTTGATTAACCCCTGGTTAGTAAGGTCACATGTTTTACTTATCGGTACATGTATATAATGTTTGAGGTGGTTGGGTTGGATCAGAACTCAGAAGGTCTGTAAGAGAGTCAAATGGCGTAGTTTTGATTCTGCCACTTGTATGTGCAAAGGAGTAGGGTCATCCATACAACCTTTTGGGTTTTCTCCGGGTCCTCCGATTTCCACCCACTACTAAAGACCCCTATGCAATAGCTGATTATTAAAAATATTTTTTAACCATATGCTAGTCCCATGAATGGACTTTTAAACTCCCCACCTCTCTCTCTCTCTCTCTCTCTCTCTCACACACACCTCTCTCTTGATGATTAATCAAAATCAACTTGTATTTCAATCTGAATACAGACATTTTGTAATTTTGTTTTTTTCAGGGCGAACTGTAATAGGAAGTAGTTCGGGTAAAATCATTCCAGATATAGTTGTAGAGGGCACTGGCATCGAATATAATCATTGCTATATCGATAATAAAAATGGAGTCATAACGCTGCATCCCTCGGCGAAACTCTGCTCAATAGATGGCAGTATCATCGATAAACCAACGCGACTAGCTCAAGGTAAGTGGATTTGAATTATTGTGCTACTGCCTGGCTGAAATTTAAGCCTGAAAGTTTATTTGAACATCCTAACAATATATATACATTCATCACAATTTGACATGAATAAGCATAAATGTCGATCTCACCCACCCCCTACCCACCACACATCCCACCCAAAATCTCTCACAAAAAGTCCCCACCAAACCAGCGTCACACAATACCCCCCACCCCCCAACACACACACACACACCTCCGAAAGAAAAAAAGACACTTGCTCACCCACCTCCATCCCAGAAACCCTTATTCCTCCTTTTAAAGACACTCTCACATCCTCCTGCCTCCCCCACTCCCACCACCACCATCTACAAATGACCGTGTCACCCATCTCAACCAAACAATCATACCATTGAGAGCTAAATCAGATCCAGCGTCCAGTCCCAGAATTAATATTGTTGCTGAATTATTCTATTCAGATTCAAAATTCTTGAATCGTATGGTTTGTTGGACAAGACAGTGAAAATGCCATGAAGTGTAGCTTAAATTATATTTTAATATTCATTTATCAGCTCATCAATATACACAGTATTTACTTTGGGAAAATTGCAAATAAAGATGCATTATGGGAGAATAGATAAAGAGCTTGCAGTTCTCACTATAATAGTTAAAAACTGGATAATGTAAAGGGGATTTGCTGAAAATTTTGGTCAAATTGATCCACTCTGAACCAAGATTTTAGCGATTGAATTTTGGGCCTAGCCCCGATCATCATTACTAAAGTCTGTACAATAAAAAACATAGTCTCGATTATCCAATTCATGATTAAATCATAAATGAAAGTTAGGCAGCAAATGGGATCCTAATCCAGTAAATATCACAGGCTAGCATTGACATCGAGAGTTGATTATGGTCTGGATAAGTTAACTAATGTCTAATTAATAATTTAGATAACATTTGAGCCCTAAAGAAAAACCTAAATAGGCAGATTTACCTCTTGCATAATGTATGTTTAATTTAATTTTGTTTTCTTGATTAAAAGTTGGGTATTTTATAATTTGAGTAAATTGTAGCAGTGTGCTTTAAATTGAGAAAAGTTAGATATTTGTTTGAAAAATACAAAAACAATCTGAGTCTTTGATTGATTCCTGTTACAGCTATAAGTACCAGCTGTTCTGTCCAATCATTTTCTAGTTAACATATTTCTACCCTGTTTATACAACTTACTGGCCTCCTTGCTACAGATATTAGAGTAGGCCAAAGTGCCGCTGTCCGAACAAAATTTCTCTCATTGCGAGCTGCATGGAGTATACGGCCTTATTAGCTTGGTTGGTACGGAAAAGTAGGATGTTAAACCCCATTTGACTTAATATACATGTTTACAGATAGCATGGATAATTACAGTACTTCAATACTTTCATCCCGGTGTTAATTGGACGAGAAAGTTCCTCAGGATTTTCCGATATGGTTTCTTCTTGTCATTGGTACGGGAAGAAGGGGCTGACAAGGACAAATGTCTAGTCATTCAGATGGGAGCATTAACCAAGGTTCCGTGTACACATTGGCATGCACGTAAAAGATCCCTTGGCAGTTGGAATTTGCTATAAGAGTAGGCTGTAGCGCCGCTGTCGGGGCAAAAATTTCCCTCATAGCAAAGTGTATGGCATATGCCCTTCTTCATTAACCCATTCAGGAGAAGAAAAGTAGGATTTCATTTCATTACTTTCTAATTACTTCTGTAATAAATAAAAAATAGGAAACCGTAAAAAATTGATTCAGTTAAAAAGTAATTCGACTGCCCTGAATTTTAAATTAAAATGTATTCACCTTCATGGAAGGGTATGGGGAGGTGGTTGTTTCAAGAGAATATCCAAGGTGAAAGGATGAAAGCCAAGTTCAACAATATTGTCTCAAAGACTGGACCTTTAAACGCCATTTGTTTCCTCAAGTAATTTGTAAGCTTATATTGTATTCAGAGAAAAAATAAAGTTTTTCATTCGGTATAACTATAATTGGCCCCTGTGAGACTTTATTGACAAATGTTCATATAACAATTATTTTGTCATTTGATTGCTTCAAGCTTGCATATTTTTTACTTTGAGCCCCCTCCCCCCCCCCCAAAAAAAAAAAAAAATATCTCTTATCTTCTTAGGGTCTTAATTTACAAGGTATGCAGACCAAGATTGCTTTTGCTCTTATTCTAGTTACCTGATCTCGTAACCTCACTAACCTGTATTTATTGTTTATTTACCTGACTTACACCTTGTTTAATAATTAAACGGAAAATTGACGGATGAAAACTAAGTTAATGGAATCGCAGAAACTACCTGAACATCTGTCACAGTTTCCATCACAACTGGAGATTCCACGATTCTAAATACGGTAACCAGGGTAATGAAGAAACACCTGACAGAGATGTTAAGGTAAAAATAAAATGGTGGGATGCCGATGTCAGTTTGTATTATAAATGAGTGATGAGGACAGAATGGAGACATTTGTCTTATTTTATTGATGTGTATTTTGTAAGGTTAGTGTAGGTGTTTGGGTATAAAATTTTGATCAGTTTCCAATTGTTTGTTTACTTCTTTTAGTTGGGAAAACTATTTTGAGATTGTCCTCGTGTTATAAACTAGTTACAGGGTTAACATTTCTGTTCTCTATATAAAAATGATGTTTCAACACTGAAGATACAAACTCCACCAAACCGTTTCCAATGAGAAATATTTTGAGTTATTATACCAGGTATTGTCCTTCCTAATGGCTCAGAAAGTTCTTCAGATTTCCCTTTGTTTCCCTTTATCATTGGTGTAGGACAGAGGATCTGCAACAAGAAACAAGGTTCAATGTACGTTTTTGTGTGGACGTAAAAGAACCCTTTGCAGTTGGAATTCCATGAAGAGTACGTGGAAACGCCACTGTCAGAGACAAATTCCCTCATACATGGTAGCACACTGCATGCATATGCCCATCTTCATTAGCCTGATTGGTGCAGAAAATAGAATGTTAAACTTCATTATATTCATTTCATATATTATTATTATTAAATAATCCCAAGAAGATGACGAAAAAACCTCACACACGATAGGAAAAGAGGGGCGGAAGAGTCCCCATAACAGTGCAGGCAAGTTTGGATCTCAGTGATGCATCCGAGGAAAAACAGGAACCATTAATTGTAGATAAATCATAGTAAAAAATCCCTGGGAACAAACTTGACAAGACTGTGTGGATATAAAAAGAATTTATCCAGGACGCGTTTCGGGCGTTCGCCCTTTATCAACTGGTTACAAAAATCATCCCGTTACCGGGTATATATAGACAATAGAATTATTGCGCATGCGCATAACGTTGAGGATTAATTAATCCCTATACTGGGATTATAAAAATAAAAATGATATAATATAGGCAAATTTAAGGTCATTAATGTACATAAAATTTTTTTTAAAAAATATATAGATATGAATAAAATTGATGTACAAATAAAATAAAACAATTAAATATATATAAACGGCGACTATCATCAAAGGACTGTAGTCAGGTAACAACAATTGCGGTAGTTTCCTTAGAGATGAATACGTATAGTCTCGGTCATCCGGAACCTCCTAGTCTTATATTTAGTTTATATATAAATTAATTAATCCTCAATGTTATGCACATGCGCAAAAATTCTATTGTCTATATATACCCTGTAACGGGATGATTTTTGTAACCAGTTGATAAAGGGCGAACGCCCGAAACACGTCCTGGATAAATTCTTTTTATATCCACACAGTCTTGTCAAGTGTTACCGGGGATTTTTTACTATGATTTATTATTATTATTAATACATGTATATGAAATAGGGCTGTCAAAAAATATTGCTATATCGATATATTTCAATACGACCGTCCGCGATAACACTGTATCGATACATTTTTGTTACATCATTATTTTGTTAATTTTATTTTATATTCAAATTTTAGCTAGACTATTTATAAAGATTTCATAATCAGTCATATTTTTTAGGCTTTGCAGTAAACAATAAATCTGCAAAGATAAGACCAAATAAAAGTTGTACAAAACAAATAAAGTGAAATGTGTATTCACATAATTAGTCATATTATAGGCTTTGCAGTAAACAACAAGTGCATAAGACCACCAAAGTTGTAAAAACAATAAAACTATTCAAAATAAAACTGTGCTTTGTGATAAACTCTGACTTTATCCAGAAGGTCAATGCTTTATCAAAGTATTGCAATACTGCAAGATATTGCAATACGATTTTTGGCCACAATACACAGCACTATTTATTATTGTTCTGTTGGATTTGACATTGTTTTGGTAAAACTGTGAATTATTTTAACCTTAATTTCTCATTTATTTAACCTGGTTGAAGAGTTTTATTAAACTAGAATGACAGAAGGAACCCTGTTGATTGACTGACCAATGGCTGCCAGAATTAATACCACCTGTTTTTAGCAACTGGTAGAAATAAATTAAAAATCATGTGCTATCGTATCACAGATCAGCATCTTAATAAATCAAATTGCGAAGGTTTCAAACTATTTTGAAACTGTTGCTGATGTCTGTTATTTGTTAAAATAATGAAAGAAATTGGGTTTAACATACACTCAATGTTAACTGGTAGAATTAATCAATTACCATGATTACAGATTAGCATCTAAATCAGATTACTAAAGTTTAAAACCATTCTGAGATTGTACACTCAATGCTAACTAGTAGAAATAAAATTACCAATGATATGCTATCAGGATTACAGATAAGCATCTAAATCAGATTAACAAAGTTTAAACCTGTTCTGAGATTGTTGTTCAAATAATGAGAGAAATTTGGTTTAATATACCCCCTGCAGTTCTAACTAGTAGAATTAAATTACCAATGATATGCTATTATGATTACAGATTAACATTTTGATACATATTTAAATCAGATTACCAATGTTTGAAACGATTTGAGATTGTTGTTAGTTTCTGTTATTTGTTCAAATAATGATCCAGCAATCCACTTAACACTAGCTGGGTTGTTTC